GGGGCAGAACCATGGATGAGGAGCAGGGCAGGGCAGAGCAGGGGCGAAGCCTGAGACCCTGGTGCCTTCCCTGCCAGGTAGCTCTGGTCGGAGCACATCTGATAGTGCTTCTGCACAGGACAGGGGGCTGGAGCCGGCAGGCCATGTGGGTAACATCTCACACACGAGAACTGGACATTTCTCATGTGTCCTCCAGGCAAGGGCTTACTTTGAACTCTGGATGCAGCAAACACTTGGCCAAGACCTTTCTAATTCAGCAGCTTCAGGGGAACTGCAGTGAGGAGAAGAGAGCCCAATCTGTGGTGATTTTTCACGGGCAGCCAGACAGGTTCTGTGTCTGGACTCTTGGCTGAGGCTGGTGGATTATTCCCATCCCTGCAGCCAGCAGCAGTCCATTTGGCAGGTTTTTCTGGTAACTTTTCCAACAGCCTCTTTTATCCACAAGTACCAAGCTGCTGAGGACTGGAGAGGCCCAGTCCTAACCAGGCACTAGCCAGCTTGCGTCTGTGTCCCCTCGGTGATGAGGAGGAGAGGCGGGTCCAGCCCACCCCGCTCCCATTCCCGTGCCCCTGGCCTTGGCTGCTGCTGCCTGTTCCTTGGAGCAGTCGGGCCCTGCCTGGCTGGGTGCCCCCGGCCGCTGCCAAGAAAGGAGGGTACGGAAGGGCTTCTCCTTCTCCCAGCACACAGCCATCCACCCTGGCAGTGGCAGCCTTCGTGCAGAAAATGAAGGAGAGAAATGCAAAGTTGCTCACCAGTGTTAAAATTAGCATGTTGACGTGATTGTGGTAACTCCTTGACAGCCTGGTGTTACATCCACAAGTAATTCTGCATTGCTTTTCCTGGGGGGTTCAGCTGCAGATATTTTGTGCTTGAATATCGGAGAAGTTTAAGATGTAATTGGAAATTGATGCATAGGATACATACATAGTTAACACAAACGTATTTTTTAAACTCTGTTATGAATGGCCTAATTGAGGAGTGAAGAACTTGCTGATTAGTAATGTGGAATACTTTTCAGGAATTACAAAAAGGTTTTCTTGATTTGGGTAGAAGCAACACAGAACTATATACAAAAATTATAAATAAATGTCACAGCATCAGCAACCTCTGACTAAATCTATTGATGGCAAGAAAGTTTCTCCTTTGGCCCAAAAGCAGTTGATGGGATATATCTATAATACTTATTGCAATATCAAAACATGCATATTTATCTTTAAGAGCTACCATTACACCCTAGCTTTTCATGTTTCTGCTGGTCATCAGCCAGTTATGAATTTTTCTTCAGGAACTTCTGGGTTTTAAACTATTACTGGATTTTTTTTGTTTTAATTGTAGTGAATGTTCCTAATTCCTTCAGACTCCCTACTGCCTTTTAGTTCCAGGAAACGTTAACTCTGTGATAGAAAGTCAGTTCCTTTTTCACAGCAGTTCACTCTTTGCTAATTCTGTGCTTTGGAGTAGTAAGTGTATATTTAAAAATACTGCTAGTTTCTGAGCTTTGAGAGGTACTGTTGAGAATATGAAGATTTCTGTAGTCATGCTTTAATTTTTGTATTTTTCCTTCATTCAATAAGAATAGAAGGGGGTTTTTGGTTTGGTTTGGTTTGGTTTGGTTTGGTTTGGTTTGGTTTTTTTTTTAAGGAGACAGGAAAAAAGCCTATTATATTGAATAAATCATATTTCAGCAAAATACTATTGTTTATGTGTGCCACTCCCCTCTAGTGAATAGAAGTGGAATTGCTCCTTCTCCTGCCATGCCATGGACCCCCAGCTGCAACCCGATTATGCAAATTTTCTTCATTTTTCAGTGACAGAGAAATATCTTTTTTTGGAGTTGAACAATGTGAACTTTTTTCTGTTTTTTCTATTAAGGACAAACCAGACCTTCATTGCAATGAATGTCAAGTTTGCTAAATTCAGTCCTTTGTGTAGTGCCCAAGTAAATAAAAAATTAACTTCAAAACCAGCAAAACTGTATTAGTTATTACTGCTATGTCTGTATATCACTGCTTTTGATGAATTGTTTCATGCTTCTTGCCCCAATTTATATACATGTAGCATTTATTTTAACAACGTTTACTTTTATCTTGGTTGTTGAATATATATTTACTTAATAATTTTAAAACCTCCATGATAGGTTGATATGTGCTTTATTGAACCTTTCAGTAATTGATACCAATGCTAGTGTGGTTTGGTCACAGGTAGCTGTGCAAGCCAAGATAAAAATATCAATCCATATATTTTCACATGGACATTTTTGTTGAACAGGTAAATATTCTTATATAAAACAGAGGAAGCCAGTGTTATAAAAATGGTGTGTATGTGATAAACATCCTGTCAGATATCAGTTAGCAAGATGCCAAGTGTGGGATTTCTGTGGTCAAAGGCCAGACATAGCTCAGCAGTCACCCTAGTCTGTCCTTACCACCCATGGAAAGAAATAAATGCATTTAGGTCTCCATTCATCTTCTAGCATACACAACTGAAATATGCTTGTGCTCAAAAGCTGGTTGTTCCTGTTGACTGCATATTACAGACATCTCAAGGTAGCATGAGGTAAATCCTGTATGTAGTGGTCTAAAAAAATCTATTTGTGTCTGCTTCTTTGCTCTTAAATAGTGCCATTTATTGGCATAATAAATGTGTCATTAATTGGTGGTAATGGTGAAAACAACTTCTGCTTTCACACTGACAACCAAAGTTAGTCCATTAGAGTTGCACAGGCTGTGAAGATCTCATTCTTAGCACAGGAAGTAGCCTGAAGAAGCCATTTAAGATGAAGAAGTAGTGAACCCTAAATCAACAAAAAATTTGATGTGAGGCAACTGTATGCTGAAATATGTTTCTTAAAATAAGAACAAAAAAAAAGAACATGGATCCGAAGTTGTACTCAGTCATACCTAAGAAATGCAGATGTATGCCTAAGAGTTGAATTTGCTCTTTATAACTTCATATGTTTCTATATCATACTCACACAATAAAACTGACACTAGGCATTCACTTCCCTGAAGCCTAGAGAATGGGAAGTGTGAATGTAGCTGAAAGGCCAAGCGTAACACATTCCCTTGCTTTCCTCTCGGGATCATTTTGCATTTCACATCCTTGCACTTTTCTGAGAACCAAAGCTGCAGTTCACCCTTGTTCTTAAAGAATAGCAGATGTTTGTAAAAGCTAAAAGCACCTTTTTTTTTTATTCTTAACTAAAAGAAGCATAAAAAAATATGAGGCCAAATCCTGTGACATCTAGTTAGGCAAAACTCACACTTTGTGGACTCTAGTTTGTTAGGTTTTTTTTTATTTGTAGACAGTGCTGTACATCACTGCAGTCCTGTTATTGTGCAGCACTTTCAGAACTGTGACTGAGAAGTGCTGTTACAGAATTATTAATAAAAAATATCTTTTCTGTTTTCCAGAGAGATCAGTGCTTGCCCAGCCTACATTTGTTTTTGAAAAGAAGGACCGTCCTTTGAAGGTAAAAAGCTTTTTTTTTTTTTTTTTTTTTTTTTGATAAAAGGTGCTAAGAAATTAGTATTCTATACCTAATGATCCTAACAGTAATAGAAGAGTTTAGCCCAAGTTAAGACTGGTAATAAATGGTCTCAAAATAGAACAAGGAAAAGTATAAAGTAGAAACAAGACTGCTTTTAATGCATACATGCTGGATTGATGTATTTTTGTGTCCTGGTATAGAAAATGGCTGTTCTATTCTCCTTGACCTTTCCATGCTTATATTTTTTTTTCCAGCGGCCTGCAGAAGACCCAGTTTGCAAAGCTGAAAATGGTAATAACCACCTCATTGAAACAGTCTAATAATACACTGGGTTATTCATAGGTCTGACTGTTGTTGCCTGTGAAATAGTGTTTGGACCCATACTTTGTATAAGCAGGGACAAATCCCTGTTAGTGAACTAAGACTATGTGGGTTGTAGAGCCACCTACTATGTCCTAATATATATGCCCCTGTCTTACCTCAAGAATTCTTCCATCCTACCTCTCAAATTTACCAGAAAGACAAACTCCAGAAGCCCTGAAAAGTGGCCAAGTATATTCATCAGCTGTATGAGCTCCTAGCTGCCCTTTTCTATTTGTTTGGGCTACCTTATAATGGAACTTCACATTCTTAATGTCTTCTGAGCCTGTAGGCTCTGAACTGATTCTAAGTGCTTGATTTAGGTTCCCTGAACTTAGCAGAAATTAAGAAGGCTCCTTAGGGCTTTGTACCAGATGTTGACTGAGATTCCAATGTCTTCATCTCTTAGGTACTGCCTTAAAACTGTTCCTGTCATTCATTCCTAGAATTCATAGAATCATAGAATGTTTTGGGTTGGAAGGAACCTTAAAGATCATCTAGTTCCAACCCCTCTGCCATCAGCAGGGACACCTTCCACTAGACCAGGTTGCTCAACGGCTCATCCAGCCTGGTTTGTGTTCTCGTTTAAATTCCATATCATAACATTGTGCTGTAATCTCCTGCCAGTCTGTTCCTGCAGAACATTATTTTTACTTTTCTCTAGATTTCATCGGTTGTTCCAGAAAGCGTGCAAGATCATCATCTTTTACTTTCCAGAAGTCTGACCCTCAGTCTAACACAGGTATGGTGTTTAGTTCTAGTCATGTTTTAATTACTATAGTTCTGTATTCTCACCTGATAAAGAAGAGAAGGAATTTCCCTGTCTAAGAAACATTTCTGCGCTGTAGCAATGCTGCAAGTCATGAAAACTTAAACACTGATATAAACTTGCTGGTAATTTCCAATAAATCCTTTTTTAAGTAAAAATGTATTCATTTTCCTACTTATCTAATGCTACATAAAGAGGTGAAAAGTATGTATATTTCATATAATTTCGTTGAACTACTCACACAGTCAAGGGAGGAGGAGGGCTGGAAAGGAATGAGATTCCCTGGTTTGAGGCAGAGATCAGTGTTCTCCAGGCAATCCCTGAAAATGTAATGCAGTTTCCAGAAGAGCCTCTTCTTCCGTCCAGCCAACAGCTGACCTGGAAGGCCCTTTAAGGGCTGTCTGTTGCTTCCATGGGAAATCACACAAGTCACTGAGGCTACTGGGCAGAAGGACTGATCCTTTTTTCATCTTTTTTATTTTACAGTGTTTATTTAATGCACAGATGGGACCAGGAAGTTATTTCTGAATTCAGGCATTAGTACACTATATTTTGTTTTACCTAGTCCTCTGACACACCTGAACGTAGCTAAGAGTTGATTTAGGATAAGCTAAGTTTGGTTTACTCTGAAAATTATCATAGAATTGTTTTGGTTGGAAAAAGCTTTTAAGGTCATGAAGTTCAACCATAAACCTAACACTGACGAGTCCACTACTAAACCATGTCTCTAAGGGCCACATCTACATGTCTTTTAAATAACTCCAGGGATGATGACTCAACCACTTCCCTGGGCAGCCTGATCCAATGCTTGACAACCTTTTTGGTGAAGAAATTTTTCCTAATATCCAAGCTAAATATCCCCTGGTCCAACTTGAGGCCATTTCCTCTTGTCCTATTACCTGTTTCTTGGTTGAATAGACCAACACCCACCTCCCTACACCCTCCTTTCAGGTAGTTGTAGAGAGTGATAAGGTCTCCCCTCAGCCTCCTTTTCTCCAGGCTAAACAACCCCAGTTCCCTCAGCTTCTCCTCCTAACATTTGTTCTCCAGCCCCTTCACCAGCTTCATTGCTCTTCTCTGGACACACTCCAGCACCTCCATGTCCTTGTAGTGAGGGGCCCAAAACTGAACACAGGACTCAAGGTGCAGCCTCACCAATGCCGAATACAGGCGGACCGTTACTGCCCTAGTTCTGCAGGCCACACTATTTCTGATCCAGCCGGCTGTCAACCAACACCCCCAGGTCCTTTCCCTTACACTGAGATCATACAGAGAAAATCATAGATACGGTAGAAATTTTAGAGTATGCCTATACTAAAAAATAAAGCAGGGTGCAGGAGGAAGCTTGAGTGTTTGGCCTCTTGGTTGTCCACACTGCTTAACTGATAGCTTGCTCCCTGGTTCTGTTTTGAACCTCTCCAGCTGGCGACCTCCCAGACAGAACGGTTACAGAGTGGACTAGCAGTACACAGTGTGCCTGAGCCTGGCTGTGCCACTTGGCCTCTCCGATGCAGCAGTATAGGCATAACTTAACAGTCTACTTCAGAAAGCTGGTATTTAGCTTTATAGATAATAACTTATTCTAGTGCCAGTGAAGACATGACAAACCATTGACTAACCTTAAAATTAATCTTTTTTTTTCTCCAAACAAATGATAATTTCAGTCTCTTATGCTTTCAGATACAACTCTTGCTCAGAAAAGAGGGAGATCATCTTCCTTTACCATCCTTCCTACCTTCCCTCCCTCCCAGCCAGGTAATTAAAAAAAACAAAAACAAAAACCAGCAAACCCAATAAATATTTATGTGGAAAAGCAGGTATTAGCTAAAATAAAGATGTGTACAGAAATGCTTTTTCTGCAGGACACAGCTGGAGTTCATTGGACTAGGCTGGTATTTGGACAGGAGAAAGGAATGTTTTAGAAGGAGGACTGGCAGTTGAATAGAAGGAATGTTTTTTTTCATGTGTTGTTAGGGAATCCTCCAGTGCTGGGGAGGAATCTTTGAATAATTTGCAAGTAGGCATTTACACAGTGTGGTACAAATTATACAAGTAATTACATGAATTAGTTTACTTGCAGTTTGATGGTGATGGTTCCTGTAGGAATATCATTTTCTATCCTAGGATGCCTGTCTTCCACCTAACCAGTGATCCTGGGAGTATTCTCCCCCTTATCATTAATGGGAACAATGGAGTGGTCTTAAATCCTAGTCTATGTCTCTTACTGGAGACAGGTCCTTGTCAGATGTTGGCATAACAGATTTCTGAACAGTCTTAAGAAGACACAACATTGTTATAGCTACAAACCACACTCTTTTCTTTCTGTGATGAAAATTTAGTGATTGTGGGTAGAGTATCAGTTGTGTCATTTTACAGGATGTGGTACATGGTTGCCATCACTTCCTGGCTGGTGTTGCATCTCTTCATTAAAACAGTGAAAGCATCAGTAGCACATTGTCATCATTGTAGTAAGTTATGAAAGCCTTTCTACCAGAACAGGGCAGAGCACATTTATTTATTCCCACATTCTTGGGCCTCTTTTACTCATCTTAAAAATGCCTAAGACTGGACCAGATAACATTGCCATTTCAATAGTTTTTGCAAACCAGCAGCACCTGGAATAAGGATTTTATGAGTTTAAAATATCTGATAATATCCAAAAGACTTCTGTCCCTGACATAGCCAGAAAACACATGGTGCTTTCTGTGCCTGTCTACCCACCTGTAAAATGGACACAGTAGCAGTTATCTCAGAGATCTTGTTTAGATGGATAGGTTGGAATATTACTCAGGTACTACCAAAATAGGGACAGTTACAGAAACATGAATTAATAATTTAAGTTTGTTATTACACATTATTAAAGTTTAAATTCCTTGTTCTGTAGTAAAGAAAAATAACATATTCATGACCTCAGCTCTTCTCCGAAGAAACCCTGACTTGATCAAAAGTACAAAAGAAGGTAACTGTCATTGCAGTATTTGTTCGCTGTAGTTCCACAAAGATTTTCTTAACAGATACAGAAGACATTAAAATGAGAACTCTTCTCTGTGCTGAGTGATAGGCTAAGTATCTTTCCGAGGTTCATAAGTTTGACAGTGTAAATATCCTGTGAGTTCTGTTCTGAGCCTTTGGCCTGACTACTTAATTCCTGAGTGGACTGAATATAACCTTAAATAGCAAAATTTCACATCTCTAACTGAATAATTCTGCTCCTGGAAAAGGCAATGAAGAACCTTTTTTGCATCTGCAGGTGCAGGATTAAATATGAAATGCCAGAAGACAGGTCTAACACAAAGCAGTAAATATAAGTATAAATATAAATATATAAATACAAATCTATTTTCTAAATACTAATAACTGTATTTTTGTATATAATGCTTTACCTTTGTATTCTGATAGGCTAACAGGTTGGTGTCACTGCAGAGTTGTGTATTTTAGAAGAGATTACAATTTTTCAGAATATGTAACATGTAAACAACAAGAAGTGTTCTTTTAAAATGCTTTAAAGCTTTCAGTTAAGGAGGCAAGACACATAGGTAAGAATTAGATGTGAAGAAAAAGTCTGTGTTTAAATATTTTTTCTTTGTATTTTGCAAGGATCCTTGTCACAAAGTCAGTTGCGGAATGTCATAAGACCAGCCATTTTACAACCCCCACAAGCTGCGACCTGTCCTGAAAATCCTGTAGTATCTCTAGTAACTAAGAAAGAAGCACATGTTCAGGTAAAAAGAAAAGTAATTTTTCTGTCTAATATATATGTTTGCAGCTCAAATTAAAACAAACAAACAAAAAGTGCTGTTTTAAAGCAGTTAATTCTCCCACTGCATGATTTTCAAGAAAGCTCTCATACCAGCTTTAGTGGAATCGATGGATCACTGACAAGGTGTGAGCTGTTAAACTCGTGCTGACTGTGTTTGGAAAAACATCTCTGCAGGCTGTCTCAACTTTTAGTTATCAGGGTTCTGTGGGCAAATCGGCTTTGAGCGTCTTTTGGATTTTGTTTATTTAGAAAATAACATTTTAGTATTTTGATTAAGGTCACTGGTTAGCGCACAGCAGGAGGAAGCTCTGCCAGCTACCACACACACACACACATATATATATATACCTCAGTGACTCTAGACTTCTAGGAGATCTGATTATAACAGAAAATAAGCTGGGTCTAATTAATTCATCTGGTTTTATTATTCCTAGCTATCTGAAGACAGCTCTTACTCCTCAGCTGAGAATTCAGTAAGTTCCAAAACAGCAGCAAGGTCATCTGCTACTGTGAATCTTTCTAGCTCTAAAACAGCACAGTAAGTTTTTGTTTACAATATTTCTACACCATTTTGTCACTTGGCCTATGGCATGCCCTTTTGTCCTACATATCTAACTAACATGGTACTAACCACGCAGTGGTCACTGGTGTTTGTGTGCAGTGCCAGGATTCGTGGGTACTGACATGAGCTCTGTATGCTGTAAGAAATGACTCCTGCTGAGAAGTAATCTCTGTCGGACAGTTAGGCACCCCCAAGCCAGAAAGTGTTTTGGTTTGCCATCTCATGCAGCTTTGGCAGTTCAATATATATCCCGGTTTTGAATATTTACAGTCATCTTTGTATCCCTTCGGAGAATGCCCTTCTCATTGCATAGCTGCTGCATCTCATAGACAGATGCAGAGAAACTGAGGAATTACCAAAGTATGTCAGCATATCGGACAGAGGAGACATGGAGAAGACCATACAGGACTGATTTGGAAGACAAGGTGAATGCTGCAACTGATGCTGTACTTCTGTGCACATCCCAGAATTTCTGGCATGAACAACTAGCTGTGATGATTTTGATAGGGTGGCTTCTTTGTGCAGACATGGGTTGACCAGCACAGACTTCATAATTTCTGCATGAGGAAGCTGACTTCCTTGGACTAGGACGTTGCTCCATGCCCTTGCCTCTGTATATGACTGAAAAGAGCTCATACTGGTGCAAAAGTGGGCTATTACGTCTCTCTGGAGACTGTCTCATGAGAATGTTAGGTCTGTGGTTAGCCATCAGGTTATCTTGTTGGTATTAATACTGTTTGCTAATGGTTGATGAGGGTTATCTACCTGGAAGTTGTGAGCATCAGGAGTACACCTGAGATCAGTTATGATGAGAGAATGATATTTCAAAATTGCTGGGACCACAGATAACATATTTGTGACATTGCCTGTCGCGGTGGGAAGAACTTGGCACTCAATATGAACGATCATCAAGCCTCCGTTTATTATGCTTTTGACTACAACTTATATACAGTTCTTAATGAGAGCATGCATATTCTGTAATTTAACTAATTAATTGGTCACTATCCTAAACGTCAACCCCTCCCCTAGCTCCTGATTCTTGGTTACTTACTCCCTTAAGTTCCCATGCCTTAGCTGACTGTAAGCAAGCTGTTATCGTATAGCAGCTGCAGTCAAGGACAGCGTGTCCTTACCACCCCAGCACTTCAGACGAGCAGAGTCCGACGTTTCCCAAAATCCTGGTCAGCCATCTACAGTATGTCTATGTGACCCTTGTCAGCTAACCAATCCTCAACAATTGCCTCCCTTCCTTCTCCCACTCAAAGAAAGCAGAGAACACGGTAACTGCAAAGGAGTCTGTTCTGGTCTTCTTCAGGGCTGGATGGGCCACAGATAAAGGTTCCTGCACACAACATTTGAGATGCACAGTGCCAGGGTTCTGAAGAGATAAAGGATTTTTAGATGCACAAACAACTAAGATTCTTAATCCTTATCAACAAGAAAAGCATCATTAGAGGGCAGATGCTCACTGGGATTTTGGAAGAGCCAGCCTGTCCTTTTCTATCACAACTAATGCTGTGGTGATGCCTTCTGAGGACAACATGGAGCCACACAGCACACTGGATTTTTACCAGATTCAGAATTATGGTAATGCACATGCTGGAAAGGCTAAAGGGAAGATGGTACTGACTTCAAAATCAGTTGGTATTGGTACTCCAAGTCGATCTACCTTATGTCACGTGCCCAATATCGTAGAAAAGACAGGTGAGTGGCTTTCTCTTGTGAAGTAGATGGATAGAGAAATGCAATGCAGTCTTTCAGTGCTGACAAGTTACAAGATTTAAAAGTGCTTATTGTATTTCTTTTATTTTTTAGAGGAGGAATTGCTAACCTGCTCGGGCTATTTATGCCTTATTAATTCTCTGTATCACAATTGTGGTAAATGTTGGTTTATTTGACAAGTTGAAAACTAATTTAAATGCAACTAGGTGCTTACTGCTCTTCTGACATCGCAGGGGAGTGTAAATGCCATTCTTCTGATTCATATTAAGTGGCTGATACTTTAAAATACTTCAGTGATGAACTCTTTTTAGTATGGCTGTTTTCTCATAGATAACTTGACAACAAGTATTCAAACAAATAACTTTATTAAACTCCATATACATGCTAAACAATAGTGAAAATTGCAGCCAGACCTAAAAAAAAATATTTTTTAGATTTGTCTTTAATTATCAATCAAGGTGTAACTGTTGACATTTATCTACAAAAAATAAAATGTAGAGGAACTAAACAGCAAGGATTGCTGCTGCCTGCAAATGTCCCTCTTACTTACCCTGCTATTCCACCTCTTCTTCTCTATGTGATACAGTTCTGTAGAGGAGATGAATGAAAATGGTTTGTTAGCCCCCTGCAGTTGCTGCAGTTGTCCATGTCCCAGGAAACCACCAACAGTTCCATTTCCTGAACTGGCTGTAGTAATGAACTAACTGAAAAGGAGAAATTTGCAGTTTCTTGAGTCTGATTTAAAGCTTGGAAAGGAGATTGTGTCGTAAGTGACAGAAATATAATGCTGGGAAAACACAGGCTTCTGGTCACAAATTCAGCTTTGCAAAAGGATTTGCTTGGAAAACTGCAAGGGTTCAAGGCCAGCACTAGAACTGGCAACTACTCAGACCCTTCTGGGCACGCTGAGAAGGACTGTACCTGGATCTACTCCCTTTCCGTAGTCCCTTTCCAGTGTCTTATCCACATTTCTCCATTTCCCATTCTTCCTTGTTAGTGGTCATTCCCTGAATTCAGTGCCTCTGTTTTGCATCTCCATGGCAATGTCATCCCTGGCACTTTGTTCTTGCCCTGCAGCAACATAAGGGTATTGAGGGTTTAATAAGACTTTAAGGCTGGGAAGGAAAAGAAAGATCCTGCACTGATTACTTTTTCCTTACATTTCTGAAAAGAATAAAAATCTGTTTCCCACATTATTTCTTTGAGACAAGGCTCTAGTTTCTGGTTTTTAGCTCTTCTGGGGTGCTGTCCTTACTAAGTTGCTGCTGGAGCAGCCTAGAAGAAGCAAATGAAATTTCAGGATGGAAACTGATCACAATTCAGTTAATTTTAGTGGAGAGTTTTCTTAAGGATAAGAAACGCATTAGTTTAAACACACTTCAGATTCCCTGTTCATGGCCCACGACACGTACAAAAGGCTTCAAGGGTGAAAAGAAGGATTTTCTGATTTATTCTTCTTATTCGCTCTTAGTCTTAGCAACACAGCAAGCATGAGAATGTTAAGGAATATTTTTTTCCTTACATGCGAAATAGAGATAGCTTATACTTGGGAATTCCTTCATCCTATGTGAAGAGATTTCAAGCACACTGTAGTTGTGAACACAGAGACTAAGTTTTAGAGGCAATCATCAACGTTCTGGCAACAAACCCAGCTTATGCACAGGAGTATCTGCTGAATGACGTATGTGCTGTTAAGCCCTCCCAAGTGTGATAAATTATGTGGAAGAGCAGAGAAGTGGTGCTGAAGTTAGCAGCTTGTGATAGAACATCAGATTGTCTTCCTGACAGGTTGTCCTTCTGGAACAAAAAGAGTCAAGAACTTCAATGGTTTTGCCTTTGCCAGCAAGAGATACGGTGATTCAGCTATACAGAAAGCATGAACACCCTGTAAACCTTTTGTGAAAACAAAACCAAAACAAAACAACCAAACAACAACAAAAGAAAAAAGCAGTAATGGGAACAACTTCCACACAAAGTTCACAAGGACTTTTCCAGTGACTTTTATAAAAGATGGATCCTGTTAATTTAAAGTAGCTATGTAATTAGCAAGTCAAATCACAACTGTGCTTATATTAGAATATTCTTGAATGTAATCCACAATTAACATACTTTTTGCAAGTTGTGACTATGTCACTATTTAAAAATACATTCACCTTCTTCTCTTAAAGCCTCCTGAGAAGTAAGAGGCTAACTGAGAGTAGTTAAACTCAAGGTGGCAATGCTAAACAAACAAACAAACAAACAAACAAAAGTTTTTTATCTGGAAAAGCTGAGGCACTTAGAAGTAAAAAGGGACAGAAGAAGAATAAGTGTTGTTTTAACATAGCTTCTGCCAAAACCACTCACACTCCAGATCCTAAACATAAAGTGATTTATCTACTGTATGAAATTTTCTCCCAAATGTGTATCCCCAAACTATAGTTGGCCAGTACCAAAGGATTGCAAGTATTTCATTTCCTTCACTTCTCATTTTAAGTATATCTATGGAAGAAGTAATTGAAAAATCTTTCCTGGTTTAGTTATACCTCATCATAAGCCATCTGCTATCATACTTTTACATTTTTGCAGTATTACGTGAATTGAAAGTGTGTGCATTAGAATACGCTGCCTCTCTGCCTTGCCAAGATGTTAGGTGGATGACCAAGGAGTGCCTGTGAGGCACTGGGGAGCACGTTGTTCTGGAGGGTACCAAGAGCTGCCACCAGCATGAAGAGATAATTGCTAATGATTGGTAGTCTTTTGATGGAGCAAAAGGAAACAGCGAAACAAATGTAACTCATGAAAGTTTCTGAAAGACACTTCCCTGAGGAGAAGGCATGTTTCTTTGCTTCTTGTTCTTTGCTTTTAAGGAACATCCTCAAAAATCTTAATGAAATATAGTCTGATACTCTGTGTTCCTTTTGTGAAATGTAATGTAGAGAATATTCTCAGATTCTCTTAAAGAAATTGTCTGATTGCTTAAGTGGTCATTTTTTAATTTGTCTTTAAGGTATCGTAAAGTAAATGCATGAACTTATTTATATTCTTTCCACATTTCTAAATAGTTCTAAATTCACATTCTTATGTTATTTGTTCCCACAGAAGTCAGTTGTTTGAAGACAGAAGTGTACAAACCAGCAGCAATTCTGATTTTGTGTTTGGAGAAAACATGGTTGAGAGAGTTTTGGTAAGATCTGTAAATGTTGGCAGACTTTTATCAAGGTTAATGTAATTATATTTTTTTTCAGAGATTGATTCTTTGTAGCTCCTTCTGTTCTTTTAAAGATGTGAGTAAATATGATTCCAATGACTGTTGAGGAGAAAATATCTAAATATTTACTGTAGGAGGGGTAGGCATCCCTGTTTTCTCCATCCTAGATAAATACTCTAGTTACTAACCCATATCAGTATGTGCTTCTTCTCTTCTGCTCATTTTTTGATATGAAAAAGGGTTTTTTATATATGATGTGTAATGTGGGACAGCACCAATATGAGATAAAAGAATGTGGTCCCCACTGCTCTAATAGTTTCCATTGTAACTGTTAAGAGGGGAAAATTGAACACCCATCCTAGATAGTGTCCATGTTAAACTATATTGTGCATGCTGTGAGACAGCTTAATGGACCAAGTCCTGAAGGAAATTCTGATTAACAGGTGGTTCCAAAGTTGAGAACCGCACCATTTAAAATCGAATTGAAATTCAGTTTCTAGTGGAAGCAGAATGAAAACAGTATGCATATCTGCCAGTGAAAAACCTTGGCAACCGTATAGCTGGGTTATGACTTCTGACCAGGATTTATTTATAAGTAGGATTTGAGCTACTGAGCATTGTCAGGAGCCAGAAGCTTTTAGACATTTCTAAGAAAGTTTATCTGGGAAAACTGGAGGTAATGGAAATTTTTAATTCCTCTCAGGTTGTTTGTGTTGTTTGGGAATTTTAAACTATTCTTCTGGGGTTTAAGTGCTTAAACTGGAAATTAGCTGTTACTTAAACATCTAAGTCTTTCAGTGGATTTAAATTCTACTCCAGGATCCATAGAAAGAGGCCATCCTTCTTGGTGGAAGAATCATATACTGATTTTATGAAATAAAATTACTTCCATTAGAGACTGAAATTTTATCATCTGGGTCAGTTTTCTTCAGCCTAGCATGCATTGAGTGATTCAGTGTTCTGTTTGGTATGAAGTAACATAGGCATTTTATTTAAATAGGAATTCTTATTTCCCCTGCTTTTTTCTAGAGTCCTGAAAAGCATCCCAAGCTGTGTAATGAAGCTGATTCGTACAAAGGAGAAATAACATCCATGTACATGGAATCTTTTCATGTCTGTCCACAAACAAGTAAGCATAGTAAGCAAACAATACAGTTAGCTTTATTATTATATGTTTCACTGTATCTTAAGGGTTGTCAAATGAGTGGTGTTTCATAATTTTCATCTGTTCTCAAGTTATCCAGTCACTAGTACACTTGCAGTATATGCCAAAATCTGTGTTCAGATAGCAGCTACAGTTTTGTTATGACATTTGAACTGGATATATTGGATCCTCTTACTTTGTATGAACGTTCTCACAAGTAAAAAAAAAGAAAAAAAAATTAAAGCATATGGAAAACATATATATGTTCCAATACACAAAATTTTGTAACAATGTTGTTCTTTTCAAATCTTGTCCTTTCGTGTTCCTGTCAAATATTCATTGTATATATGTTACTATTTTGAATACTGGAACATGTGTCTTTCCTTATTTATTAATCTGCACAGCAATATGACAGACCAGTTTCATTTGGATCAACTTCTAATTAGTTAGGGCTTGTTTCTGCAAGCTGTCCCTGGGGGCAAACCTCTGCAACTGCAGAGAGCCTTGTTCAATTAAAAATGAGCATAAATAGGTGAGATATTTTGCAATATTCCAGCCTTTTTCTTTTTCTCTTCTGTTTACTGCTTTGTCCAAAAATGTATTGCTAACACGAAATAATATCAGAAATCACAGGGATTACTGAAGTAAGAGCTCATCTTGTGTGCTAGTTTTGTTGTCCTGAAAAA